ATTGAAGAAAAATTGATTGGCGTTTGAATCTAGAGATGATTGTTTGATGAATATCTTTAAATCTATGGTAGATAGAAAATTTTCTATGCAAGCTTTTTCGTAAATCTCATTTGGCTCTAAAAAAACCATATTCACAAAAATTTTTCTATCTCACTCAGATTCCAACGTATTTTTAAAAAACTATTTTGAGGGCCAAATTTTGTTTCTCCTTGCATTTCATCCCTGGATTAATGAGAGCGTAGAAATTAGAAGTATATTTTGGTTAGGAAATTTTGTGAACTTTCAAGTTGATATCTCAATTTTTGCACTAGCTAGAGTGATTACAAAGGTTTTTTAATTACAAAATGCAAAAACGGAGATATCTCGAAAACTTCGTATGGGTGTAAGGTGTATATATATTGATTGATTTAGATCGAAGGCATCGAAACGAATATTTTGAAAGCAAAAAAATCGAAATCGATCCACTAGTTTCGAAGATATTTTCGGAAAATGATTTAAAAACGAATCGCTTTTTGTCAATAACTATTAGATCGATTCGGCTGAAATTTTCCACAATTGGTCCTTATTAAAACCTATAATCTGACATTTCAGATTTTTTGGTATTACTTTAGCCATTTGATTACTCTATTTTTTCAAAATTGACCACCGAGAAGTTGGCGGTGGACATGCTCACATACAGACATGCTCCCCAAACTTTGTATTTTTACATTTCAGACGATTTTACGGTACCCGGATACTTTTTCCTCGTGTGACATCCGTCGAAAATATTGAATTCACTTTTTCTTTTTTTAAAATAAATTAAATAATATTCGAACGGGAAAAACCGTTAAAATTAATACTTTCTCTCGCGCCGGGATTTTTAGTTGAAAAGGCCCCGAAGGCCAGCTGCAAGTCGTAAAATTGTAGTTAACATTTTCCGAGCTGACTTTTCCCCGAAAAGTCAGTCATAAAGTAATAGACATGGGTCAGGGTCTTGTCATGCTGAAAGCATTTCAAGTGCACGCCCAGTCTATCTCTTTCTTTCTCTTTGTCTTGTAATTCCGACGTGACGTGTCCAGTATTCAAGTGTATTGGGGAAACTCAAACTGTCCCTTATCTTAACTTGGGGTCTGTTTTCGTTCAAGGCCCAGGCCCTCGTAAAACCAAATCCGAATTTCCGTCCCGTTTTTAAATCTTAATGGGGGTTCTTCGAGTTTCTCTTCGTAACGGGAAGTCATAAATTTATTTTGACAATTTTCGAATGTTTAAAAAAAATATTCTTTTAAATTAATAATTTCAGTGCAGTTTAATTGCAAATTTTATGACAATTATTTTTATGTTAAAAACTTTTCGTTAGGACAATTTTAACTTATACTTTTGAATTATTTTCAATTCGAAAGAATATTTCAGTTAATCCAATTATATATTTCGTTACGAATTGAACTCCATTTAATTCTCTTTATGGAAAATTATTTTCATTTTTTTTTATTTAAAAAATTTTCCATTTACGGATCCAAATAATTAATTTTCATTTCTCTGAGATAAACGAGAACGGCGTAATAAAGAATTATTACTTAGAATAAATAATTTTAATTATCCGAAATAATGTTCGGGAATATTGAAATATGTTTAAGATTATTAAATAAGAATTATTAGTTAATAATTAAATTGTTTAATTTGTATTTTTTTTTAAAATGAGATTGTGGAGGGAGAAAAATGGGACCTCCCGAAACAATTCTCATTGGCAGTCGAGGGTTGGAAAAGTCCGCCCACACTCTCGACATCTCGATGTAGAGGGGTCGGAGTTAACCCTGAAACATTGAGAGCGGAGTGCAAGGAAGGGAAATTCGGGCCCAAGGTCATCGACTATTGGTTCCCTAGATTTTCCCTCTGTACATCTGAGGACACACCCTCAGGCTGGGGTAACAAAACCACTTGCGCGTCGTTTTGTTCCTCAGTATTTTCCACCGTAGCTTTTCAAGTGCCACCGTGACCCTTCAAGTTTTCCAACGTCTTTCATGACTTGGATTTTTCATTAAGTCTTTCGTGGCTTAATTTTACAAGTCTTTCAAGACTTCTTCTATTACAAATCTTTCATGACTTGTTTTTCTTTTTAAGTCTTTCGTGGCTTATATTTTTGTGTTTTCAGTTAGTGTAATATTTGGATTGTGTCGAGACAACATTCAAAAAAAAATTTAAAATCATAAAGATAGTGCGGCATTATTAATAAATTGTTTAAGTGAAAAATTGAAACCTTTGGGATTTAGCAGAGAACAAAAAATTGTAAATCTTTTGACATTATAAATTTTTCAGTGTTTTTATTTTAAAATATAGACTCTTCGGAGTCATTTGAAACCAAAATTGTGTTTTAGATTTTCTTTTATTTATCCCTATCCAGTGGGTTTTATTCTTGAGAATTGTTCGGATCTCTAAAAATTAAATTCAGTGATTGAAGATTGAGTCATTTCATTTTTGTTTTAAAAATTTTAGAGTTGACCTTTCAGGTCAAAAGTTAGTTGAATAGAAATAAAAGATTACCTCATTTTCTTGCCGTTTTGACGTGACACTCGGAAAATATTAGTTTAGATAGTTTTATTAGTCTAGATAGTGAGTGTTTATTTTTGATAGCATTGTCAAACCAAAGGCCTTTTCGTCCAGATGGTAAGTATTTATCTTTGACAGTATTGTGATTTATTAATTTGGGGGGGAGGGGGGGGAGAGTTATAGAGTGTGTATTGTTTGTATCGGTGTTCCTATCCCCGAAAAATTGTTCTTCATCATTTCTTTTTTTTTGAAGGGGGCCCCCTTCCAGTACAGAGTGTATTATTTGTATCGATTGTGGTATATCAAGTGAGTGCATATTATATCATTTTGAATTAATATTGATTTACTTTTTTCACGCGGACTTGCTTTGACCTCGAGATTTCATATTGTGTGATTCATTGTAAAATGTATTTAATGACCTTCGTTTTTTTGTGAATATGTTCATGACTGTACAATTGTTTGATTCGTTGTGATATGTATTTAATCATCTTTCTGTTTTTTATAAATATGTTTCGACCTTACAATTTTGTTTTCATTTGTTTTTTCATTGTCGTGAAAAAAGTTTTTTTTTGTATTTTTCAATGTTTTTTTTGTGTTTTCACTATTATGGAAGGGTGATTTTTTATTTTAGGGCTTGTTTTTGGAGAATTCATGTTTTTGGGAAACATTTCTCCTAGAACCGATTTTACATCATTTTCAATCAAAATTAGAGAATGTGAAAATCAGACGATTGCAATGCTTTCATTTAGAAGCAAAAAGGGTAGGAAGTCCATTCCACTCCATCCTAATTTTTTTACCAATTTCTGATCATTTTTAATACGTTTTAGAGTGATAGTTTTTTTACTGTGAGAGTAGCTTTCTGATAACATCCTGAAAATTAAACCAAATAGTGTTTTTTGGTGGAGATTTGTTTGATGATCTTCAGATAGATAATCGGTAGCATCAATTTATTAATAATAAAATAAGATAGAAAATTCTTTCGTCGGTTGCCAATAAAAATATTGATAAAAACCAGAGTTTGAAGTTTCGTGTTCTAACGGTCCCATCAGTGGAGAGTCAGACTCTACTTTTTCCAAGATTTGAGAGAAATGTGAGAGTTGGGAGATGCTTGGAGTGACAGGGTTAATTCTCTACTCTTCAGTGCTTTTAGAGAGTGGATAGGTGGGGCGAGGGATTTTTTGCCTCTTGTAGGCGTTGACTCTTTAGAATTGTTACCCTCTAATCTTCTGACACTTATACTTTCCGCCCCTTATAACTCCCGAATCTCAGATTTTTTGACCCTCGAATGTTTTGGCCCGCAAATCTTCTGAACCTTATATTTCTTGATTCATACATACTGACCCTTATTTTTTCTGACCCTTCAAATGTGGGCCCTTTGCAGGCCCTTCATGTTCCTGACCCTGAGAATTTAATCCTAATAAATGTTGAAATATCGAACCTTTGACCCTTATTTTTTCTGACCCTTAAAATGAGGGCAACTCTCTACTCTCCACATTTTTTTTAGAGAGTAGACAGTTGCGATCGGATGCTTGGTGAGGGCAAGTATCCACTACTAGGATACTAGGTTGTCCTCTATAGTAGTGTCTACTAGGGGGCAACTATCTAAGTGGTCACACACCCACTTCAACGCACCAATCCCAATGCACCCGAATTCGGGCGCGACCGCAGCGAGTGACCAATGACTACAAAGTGGTGCATTTAAAGATGTACAACACCCTTTCGGCCAAAATTTACGTTTTTTTTATATTTTTCTAGCAAATTATTGATCGGATTGACGCGAAATGATATACCGTTTTTGCGTTTTATCATTATTGACTGACTCACGAAGTTTCATGGTGTGCAATTATTTTCCTGCATTTTTTCCAAAGCTTTGTGAATTTCGAAAAAGTTTTAGAAAAAAAATGATTGCACGATCATGAAATTTCGTGAGTCATTAAGTAATAATAACACGCAAAAACGCTATATTTTTTCACGTCAATCCGATTAACATTGTACTGGAAAAATTCAAAAACGTGAATTTTGGCGAAAAGGGTGTAATACATCATTAATAATTGAGACACCACTTGAAAAAGACGCCACTTGTTTTCCCTCCCGCTTCACGGGGGCGAAAAATTGTTTATTAAGAATCAATAAAGGCTTTATTTGATTGTAATGAAGATTTTATTTCAAATTAACGCATTATTTATTTCATTTAATTAAATTTTTCTCTTGGAATGAGTTAACGATTTTATTAATTTCTGACAATGAATATTTCAAAGTAAATTACAAAATTGCAAATAAAGATTTATATTTGATTCAAATGACTCATTTGTTGGGTGTGCACCACGTTACATTATACAATCAATGTTGTGCGAAAATTCCATTCTATTGTTATCTTTATATTCTTGGATAAACTTATAACTATCATACAGCAAGGAAAAATGGTGACAAGAATCGTTGTTTGATGTCCCTTGGATTGAATTTGATATTGAATTATTTCACAAATCGTCTTCAATTTTTCGGAGTACAACACGTAGTGTAGTGAAGAAAGAATATGTTGCTGACATATACTGGAACAAAAAAAAATATTATCCATCGGAGTGCTCAATTCCTTACTTTTTATCAAATTTTGAGCATGAAGTTTGACGTACCCTTGCATAATAGTTCATGGACAATTTTGGCAATAATCCACCGATAGAAATTACCGACGGTTTTTGACATCTCTGCATCACGAAAATGACAGCCCTATTATAGAGCGCCCAACTAACTTCCTCGCACTAGGTGATTATATAAATATTGAATAAAAGCAATTCTGGAGCGAATCGGTTACTTGATTGCGAGAAGGTGAAAAGTCTAAGAGGGATCCCATAGTGACATTCCTAATAATATTGTTATAGATTTTTAGAGAATTATTGATCTAGAAAAGCCGCGAGAATGGATAATATTGGCACGAAACGGAAAAAGCTTTCGATAAACGAGTCAATAAATGATCTTGGATTTTATCGTCCAAACAATACGATACGACATTGATTCACGCCATCGACACGAGAATCGAGTCAGAATTTTTCTTCTCATTTTTTCGAGAACTATGAGTTGTCTTCCCGACCGCTTCGCTCGCCACGCAGAAAAATGATTGCATGGCGATAGAACTTTGGGAGTCTTTGAATAATGATGAAATCCAAAATAGTATAGTTTTTACGTGAATCCAATCAATGGTTTGCCAGAAAATGAAAAAAGACGTGAAAATTCGCTAAACTTAGCAATATATCCTTGAAATACGCAGATCTTCTGAGGGCATGCATATTTCTTGGAAACATAATTTTCCCAAATCCATGCATTCTTTGTACAGCAGTCTCCCCAACTTCACCACATCGGGGATACAAATTCCACGGAATGAGCGGTTGCGGACATCCACACTCTGTTGCTAGAAGGGCGTCGCCCAAGTAGAGTGAGAGTGAGAGGTTATGGAACACACGGAATACGAAAAACGTGCGGGAGCAGAGACTGTTTACTGCGCATTCACCAAGCGCAGAGGGATACACGCATATCACTTACATACGATTGGGGTGCTCAGAGTAAGGGAACAATCTCCCCACTGTCGCTGATCACTGGGAAGTTGGAGAGTAGAGAAATTAGGGAGACTATTGTATATAGTTTTGTTTGGGTTTCAAGAAAAAAAACGAATATAAAATATATATAAATTGAATGTTAAAGTAATATTTAGGCAATTAGGTCAAAATCATGAGTTACCGCTGCAGTTAAATTCTCTGCAGCCCACGCAACACAAAGGAGTTCTATCGAGAACGTCATTACAATCACCATAAACTGCAGTTTTTCAATGATTGGTCCATTCTGTGGGAAGTAAAACCATTGAATCTCGAATGGTAATCATTCATTCTATAGACTTACTCCAACTATGGTGATTCCGGCACACAAAATGGTTATCATAGCCATTGCAACAGTTGTCAAAACCACGGGTCGAACGGTTTTGATGGTTTCATCAATATACCTGTAAAATGGAGTAGTTAAGGGCTCCCCTCAGTTGATTTTGATAAATAAAGAAAGGTCTCAGCGGATCTAAATTTCCCACATTTTTTGGTAATGAAAGGAATAAAGAAAAACGATAAGACTCCTCCGCATTTTTCAGATATAATTTTTTTTACTCATCAATAATTATTATGCGTATATTCAATTCGCTAGCACCTTGCCGTATTATTCGAAAACCAAATACAAAATGCAGAAATTCTGTACAAAATGAACCCTCACTAATACCAACTATTTGACGAAATTCAAGATTTTCGGGAATTGTTCAGTATTTTTCTCGTCCGTTGAGAGGAAATACCGATTGTTTTCGACAAACCATAAAATCAAACATACACAAAAAACATCAGGGAAAATTCTGTAATAACTCATGTAATTATGTGGCGAAACAATAACTTCGCGGGTGTTAAGATAAATTTGAAAAAAACAGTGAAGCAAAGGATGAATATTTCCTTCTATCGATTCCGGATTTTTTTGGGAATTTAAACGTAATTTTATCCGAAGAAGTGATATTTGTTTGTTTTGCGAAGAAATGGTGCGTTAAAAAGTATAAAATTCGACGTCCCAACTGAAAATTGCTTTAGGTCCACCTGAAGTACGATCAGAACTTGATCCAATTTTTGTAAAGGTAGGCTGATTCGGTGATTTCTGAGATCCCAAAAACTACAGGTGATTTGAGATCAAGTCGATCAGGCGACGCCTGATGAAAATATGAGCAAGTTGTGATCCAGTAGAGCGGAAACCAAAATCTGCAGACGGGCTCAGATCGAGTTTTGAGCAAGTAGGTAGGATCTCAGTCTGCCGTCAGACTAACTAAACGCAATTTGATCCGATTCGGATTTTATACACTTGAGTTTCATTTGATCGTGATCAATTGAAAAAAAATGATAAGGTTCGAATCTGGTTCAGCTGTTTTAATCAAACTTTTTCCGAGAATCGAATTTTTAATATTAATTCTCAATTTATTTACTAAACAACTTTAATAAGGTTTTTTTTAGCGGTAAGTACGGTACGGATTCTTTAAGAAATGTGATGTATGGTGAAAAAATTGAATTATCTTTTATTTTGAATAGATTTTTTTCAATAATTATGATTGATTTCCATGCACAGGTCATCCGGTTTAAATAGGTTCAGTTTGATTAAATCCGGAACCGTTAGGCCTGGTCAAGTCTTAATGCAAATCAGTTATCATATCACTTTTTGATTAATCGTCAGGGCTGACCTGATCCAATCTTGACTCGGATCTGACCAAAATTTCCACTCGGGGTTCGGTCATTCCCTAATTTTCCTCCCGCCGGCATTGGCTCCTTATCAACGTAGGCGGGAGGCACGCGAGACGGATAAAAACTATATTTTGATTAACATTTTTTTGCGCGAAGCGATCGAAATTTTCACTAATACTCCCTGAAACTTGGTGTGAAAAACAATAATTTCTATGAAATTGGTATCATTTACCGCAATTAGGTTTTAGAATGTAATTTTTAGGACCAGTCCATGATATTGATTTAGAGGGCTGCCAATCAGGGAATCGTTGCCATTTATCGAATATTAAATATTAAATCGCATATTACATGTTCAAAAATCAGATACTGCATACTTTCATTCGCAGACGAATTGGAATCAGAAAAAGTATTAATTACCAAAGTATATGATGATGTACATTAATGTACTCTTTAAGGTCTTGAGCGATGCTGACTTTCCTCATTTTTTCCGCGAGAATTTCAAGTTGTATTGTTCCATACCAAAGGAGCAGACACACTTGACAAATAAAAGCGGTAGAACAACAACATTCAATAGCTCCTATGGTTTCCCATAAATAGGCAATATCATAAGAAGGATGTTCATCCACGGCAAATGGGTACACCAATCTATTCGGTAATGAGTAATCAAGTGTGATGGGACCGAGTATATAACCCAGTGTCGCACTGATAGCGATGATATTATAGCTGAAGTGACGAGAAGCTATTCGCTTTACACACTTTGAAAGTACTTCCCGCTCGTGAGAGTTGGCATCCTTCATGAATGTCTCTATCTCTTCAATTAAATACTGTAAATCGAACAGAAAGAGGAGCTTCAATGCATTGAAGGAATTACATTATACACAAAATGAGAAACTTGTTACTGAACAACCCATTTGTCATGTAAGCAAAGTTCTCAAATTAAGAACCATTGATTTCTGCACGGAACAATCAGTGAGTTCTGAAATAGTGAAAGAATGAATGACTTCGTCACACTAGTGCTCACCTGGAACCGATGATGATGATGTTTCCCAATAATCATTGTAAGCACGACTTGGTTCATGCAGAATGCGTGGAATAAGTTGTGAATAAGTTGCATAAAACTGTTTCGTACTGTATATGCCAAATAAAATGTTTGCATCATCTGTGTTACGGCAAAAATCCAAAAAACCCACCACCCGATTTTAAGAATGGTTACTACGGATCGTGTTGTTTTGGAACTCTCTGGCCACGTGAATACAATCCCAGTTGTTGATTTAGTCCATTGGATTTGTTGAAAAGAAAAGAAGTATGAAGTTTCGGAGTGCTTCTGTTGAATAAACAAATTGAAGCTAGTTACTAATTTCTTTTATCTAAAAGTTTATGTAACTGACACATTTCATTCGTGTAAGATTTATGGACGAATAAAGTTTAATTAATTATTTATCACTATTCATGGGAATATCCACTTCAATAGGTTATGGGCCCAGAATACGATAAATAAAGAAATAGTGATTTATGTGATAAAAATAATAATTTTCCAACGTGAATTTTTGAATCCGTTAAGAAGAGAAATCCTTGACTGAGTGCAAAATGGCAGGATCGTCAGTAAGGATAGCACTTCTCAACAAAAATAATTATGACACGTGGAAAATCCAAATGAGGGCTTTATTAATCAAGAACGACGAGTGGAGTTACGTTGACGGGAAGAAGGTGAAACCTGAACCCATAGAAAACGCTGGAGTCGTCACTAATGCAGCTGCAATCCAAGAGTGGATGGACGCTGATGAAAAAGCCATTTCAGATATTATTTTATGTATTGGTGAGTCAGAATTGAAATTGACTAACGGATGTACAACTTCAAAAGGATTGTGGAACAAATTGAAGTCGTTCTATCAGTCCACCGGTCCAGCCAGAAAAGCGACTTTGTTGAAGAGACTGATCTTTGAGAAAATGGAAGAAAATGGAGATGTGAAAGAACATCTTGGGAGTTTCATCGACACTGTTGATAAGCTGAGACAAATGGACATGAACCTGGACGAAGAAATGTTGACAATTATCTTAAATTACTTTAATTACTTTAAATTTTTTCTCTCTAAATTCTAATTCTCTTAGAATTCTTTAATGCCTAAAGGAGGTTAGGCGGTGTTTGAGGTGAATTTGAGAGTGAATTTCTGTGGTTCCCGCTAGCTTAGTCGGTAAGAGTGCCCGGCGCGTATCTGGGAGACCCGGGTTCGGTTCCCGGCTGGGTGAAGCGGAAATTTTTTCTCTCTAAATTCTAATTCTCTTAGAATTTTATTTTTTTATTTTTTAATTATCCTTTTATATAGTTTACCATCAAATTTTGAGAATTTCAGGTGTGCAATCGAATCGCGCGACGAGTTACCGACATCTGAGAATTTACGTATCAAAATCATTGAGGAGTATGAGATACGGAAGAATGATGGACGTCACGCAGCCCCAGATGCCATGATTGCAAAGAAATATAAGAAGCCCGAGCAGAAACCGAATCACAATCCTCAGCAATTAAAAACAAAGAAATTAATCTGTCACAGGTGTACTAAAGAAGGACACAAAGCCAGAAATTGCACTGAAAATATTCCAAAGAAGGCAGAAGCAAATAATACAGAACAGATCAGCTTGAATACATCATTCGAAAGTGTACAGACTTACGAGGCATTCAATGCAATGGTTGTACGAGAAAAAGAAAAATGGTGTATTGACAGCGGAGCTACACCTCACTTATGTAAAAATGTGAGAACATTGAAGAAAATTACAGACACACGAAGAGGAAAGTTGTACCTTGCCAGCCACGACTCAACAGACATTACGGGGAGAGGAATCGTGGAATTTACATCGGAAGCGAGTGGAAAATTGAAGAATGTCACACTCCGGGATGTTTCATGTGTTCCAGACCTCAGAATGAATCTGCTATCAGTAGCTAAGCTGACTGATAAGGGATTGAATGTCAATTTTGATGAGAAATCGGCTGTAGTAATTGATAGGTCAACAAAGCAAGTCGTGCTCACTGGAAAAAGAATGAATGATCTATATTTTCTGAATGAGAACTCACAGCAATGCAACGCCACTGAACAAAACAAGGACACACTGAAACTCACCGAAACAGAAATTTGGCACCGGAAGATGGGTCATCTGAATGTGAGGGATCTTCGAGAGAGCAGCCAAAAGGAAAATATTCGAGGAGTAAAATTAGAAGGAAAACTTCAAGAAAATATTGAATGTGAAATTTGTCTCCAAAGGAAGATGACTAGGTCTCCATTTCCAAAGAACTCAGAGAAATCAATGGAGTTATTGGAAATCATTCACTCGGACGTCTGGGGGCCAGTATGGACTGAATCGATCGGAGGAAAGCGTTATTTCGTAACTTTTATTGATGATCATTCGAGATGGTACATCGTCAAGCTTGTTAAGGGGAAAAACGAAGTGCTGGATGCGTTGAAAGAAGTCACAAATTTTATTGAAAATCACCAAGAAAAAAAAAATTTTTTACAGTCAGATAATGGGAAGGAATACACCAGCAATAATTTCAATGAGTTCTTGAAAAGCAATGGAATCGGACGCAGATTGACAGTGACACACACACCCGAACAAAACGGAGTGGCAGAGAGAATGAACCGTACATTGGTGGAAATGACACGATGTTTTCTCATTCAGGCTGGACTGCCCATGAAATTCTGGGGAGAGGCGTTGATGACAGCTTGCTACACGTGAAATAGATGTCCTTCAAAAGCTCTAGGTGGAAGAACTCCACATGAAGAATGGATGGGAGAAACTCCAGATGTGAGTAACTTCCAGGAATTCGGTCGTGAAGTTTACGTCCTAAATCGAGATCCAACAAAGGGAAAACTGGAGCCTCGAGCGCAGAAAGGGGTTTTCCTTGGATATTCTGACGTATCAAAAGCCTACAGAATCTGGATACCTGAAGAGAAGGTTAACGTTGCTCGAGATGTGAAATTTTTGGAAAGAAGAAACACTTCATTGAAAGAGGACGATGAACTGAGGAATCTAGAAGAAGAGACGATGGACAGCATTAACTTTCAAATCAGCAAGCGGCGACCTCAAACTCGACATGAAGGAGCTGATGAAGGAGAATTGGAAAATTGGTTTGATGCTGAAGAAAATGATAACGAGGACGACAATGACGATCAAGAGCAAATGGAGCATCAACCAGCAGCTGAGAATTTGCAAGAAGAACGTGGAGAACAACCGGAAAATGTTGCAGGCCACGAGGAGCCTGTAGAAGCAGCTGGATTAAGGAGAGGCAGAGGCAGACCAACAAAAATCAAGACTGGTTTGAGGGGCAGACCCAAACTGCAGTATAATATGGTTCAAAACATTGAGACAGTTGATGAAATTGAAGAATTTGGTGGCCTCGCGGACGTTCCCATAAGAGAAGCTATGAGAGGACCTGATTCTGAAGAATGGCTCCAGGCTATGACTCTGGAATTGAAATCAATTATAAAAAATGACACCTGGGTTTTCGTGAATCGCCCTAAAAATCAACCAGTCATCAGCAGTCGCGTCATTCTCAGAAATAAATACAACGCCGACGGTACTCTAGAGAGAAGAAAAGCCAGGATCGTGGCCAGAGGATTTTCTCAGCGTCCCGGAATAGACTTCGAAGAGACTTTTGCACCAGTGGCATGCAGCAGCACTATACGCATGATCACATCTCTTGCAGCCCAACATGGGATGACAATCAGACAATTTGATGTAACGACTGCGTATTTAAACGGAATTTTGGACGAGGAAATATTCATGGAAGTGCCGGAATACACGGAAGAGACATTGGAAAAAATTATTCATAATGAGCCAAGTACGAGTGAAATCATGAAAAAAGCACAACAGTTACTGGAAGACTTCAAGGGTGGAAATAAAGTTTGCTTGATGAAAAAAGCTCTTTATGGGCTGAAACAAGCCGGACGTCAATGGTTTTTCCGATTACGAGAAGAGTTAAAGAAATTCGGGTTACAACAATCCGAATTTGATAACTGCGTATTCTATTCGCGACGAGGGGAAGATATATTCCTGGTGGTCATTTACGTAGACGACATCCTGACTATTTCAAAGGACAACAACAAGATTGAGGAGTTTCATAAACACCTGGCTAAGAACTTCGAGATGAAAAACCTAGGAAAAGTCTAAAACCTAGGAAAATTATTGTCTCGGAATCGAATTTCGCGAAACAGAGAAAGAAATATACATGAATCACAGAGGATACATTCGCGACATTCTCAAAAGATTCAATATGAGTGAGTCAAAACCCATCACCACTCCAATTGACTTGTGCACAAGATTGAAGAAAAGTGAGGAAAATTCACCTGATGAAGATACCCTAAAACTACCCTACAGGGAACTAGTGGGAGCCTTGATGTATTTAGCAGTCTGTACAAGACCAGACATCGCCTATGCAGTGAGTTATTTGAGTCAGTATAATTCCTGCTATGATCCTACGCACTGGACAGCAGCAAAACGAGTCTTACGATACCTCAAAGAGACAGAGGATATTGGACTTTCGTTCAGGAAGAAGAGAGAACCATTGAAAGGCTACGTTGATGCAGACTGGGCCAATTGTCTTGACGACAGGATATCTTACACTGGATACGTTTTTCTATTGGGTGGATCACCGATTTCTTGGGAATCAAGGAAACAACGCACAGTGGCCTTGTCGTCAACGGAAGCAGAATACATGGCACTCACAGAAGCAGCCAAAGAAGCTCTCTACCTGAAAAGATTTTTACAAGAACTCGGATTTAATGATCTCAATAACATTATCCTCTTCAGTGACAACAATGGAGCACAAAAGTTGCGAAAAATGCAGTGTTTCACAATCGCACGAAACACATTAATGTGAGACATCATTTCGTCAGGGAGATTTTGGAAAAAGAAGAGAATTTCAAAATTAGTTACATTTCAACTGATGACATGGCAGCTGACGTTTTGACTAAAGGACTCCCCCGACCAAAGCACCAGAAATGTCTCCAACTTCTTGGAATTGGAAGAGGCAAGATGTAAAGCATTATTCTTTACACCTTGAGGGGAAGTGTTAAAAAGAAAAGAAGTATAAAGTTTCGGAGTGCTTCTGTTGAATAAACAAATTGAAGCTAGTTGCTAATTTCTTTTATCTAAAAGTTTATGTAACTGATACATTTCATTCGTGTACGATCTATGGACGAATAAAGTTTAATTAATTATTTATCGCTATTCATGGGAATATCCACTTCAATAGGATTACCAACTCCGGCGTCAATGTTTTACCCATAGCGATGCAACGGATGATTTGAATTGAATCACAAGCCAATTACTCAATGAGCTGAGTATGTTTATGTCGCCACCTTTGAAAAATATGACGCATCATGAACAGAAATTAGTGATGTACTGC